ACGTGCACTGGATGTACACCAACTGATCCCTGAACGCGATTCGCAAAAGCGTTTCACTGTGGAGGGTTTTCCGCCGTGTGTACTGTGGTCGCTATCCAGTCGGCACAAAGCGTACCACAACGCTAAGCAGATGGACACTTGTGACGCCCTCGGTCGCCTCTTACGACCCCCACGGGCATGTATGGGGAGGCGACAATGTATTCTTAAGCCGTCGCCCCACGGCCTAAAACGGCCTAGTTCGTCGAAGGAAGTACTGCTATACCTATTTCTGCCGCCAAGCATTCAGTTAGCATTACTGCGTTCCAGTATTGAAGGGTAAGCGTGCTTGTGAAATTACAGGCACATGGGACTTGTCAAGTTATATCTCAGAGTGACGGGCGCAGTGGTAGAGCCCCTCAGATCTTTGTGTTTTTTTTTCAAGCTCTATGTGGCACTGCAACCAATAAGGACGGGCAAATATATATTTACCTTTATTTGTTCGTCCCATCACTTATTATAAAAAATATGTAACATTCCATTTTCCTATTCTATGACAAAACATTGTGTCAAATTTGACCAACTTCTGTTGTCCCATTTTATTTTGGTCTCAGCTTGAGCTGTTTTCCAGACTTTACTTCTTTGGTGATACTAGCTACATTTTATGACTGTAGTTGTATGACGAGTTTCGTCTAGCTTAGATAAAATTATCTCTAAGTAAGTTATGATCATAATGTCATGACAATTAATAAATAAAAAGTACCTAGTTCCTTTTTTATTTATTTATTACTGAGATTTATTCAGAAAGTGCTAAATTTAATTGAGAATGGGACATTGAAATGATCACCGATTTGTTGACTTTGATCGGTATTATCTCAGAGTATTTTAAACAACCTTCCTGACGAATTTATTTTATTTATTTATTTATTTATTTGTTTTGTTTTGATGCGGGCCACCTAGAATGCCATCTATAATGAATCTTTTATTAGTGCAATAAAGACGAATATATTTTTCAAATAGGAAATGAAACTATTCTTCCGGATTTAAATCGTGTATATTTGTTTTTCAAACAAAAAACAAATATACGCGATTTAAATCCGGAAAAATAGTTTCATTTAAGGACAGGCGTGTCGCTTACCATCAGGCGCTCGACTTATTTGTCCCGTGACTTGGTGTTATGAAAAAAAACATTACCATATCGTTACAAGAACATCATATCCGTATTTAACAAAAGTAAAAGTTTACCTTCACGGTTTAAATATACCTAAGGTTATAATATTATTTCTTGTTAAAACTCGAATGATTCTGAAGCTTGGATTTTGAAAAATATATCGAGTTCTTAGGTTTTCACGATTGTTACACATAGGATCTTCGCCGCTTGACTCGCCTATTGTCGTGGATAATGTAATATTCTACGTAATCTTATATTCTCTTCAGATATCATAATGTCTGAAGAGAATAAATAAACTTGAATTTAAATGCGTGTACTACCAACATTTTTAATAGTTGTATACCTTTATTAGTAGCAGTAGAGCTCCTTGTGAAAGAGTTTGTCAGTAGACGTACTGCCATCTTACCAATATCTAAATGACTAAATTATTTCTTGTAGTTTTAAAGCCCTTAGTTACTATACTCATTTGCTTGTACTATCCATTCTGGGCAGTTATTAACACGCTCCAGTACGTCTCAGGCAAGCATAAAGCACAACCATGACCACACGTCATAATCATCATACGAAAATGTATCTAAATACAACACTTTAAAGCTCATAAGGTCTTGTCACTTTGCCAGCAAATTTTGTTATTGAAAAAATTCTAAACTCACGTCTGGTACTTGCACATATAGCTTTTTAAATTGTAAAACGTAAGTTTGTTGAAGTGTTGTAAATTCGTTGCACCCGTCTGATTCTGCATGATAATTGTTTAAGTGAATGAACCATAAGCATTATTATGATGTACTTTGCTACTTCAACTTGGAATATCATATTGTTTGTAACGGGAAATTAGAAGAAGGGTTATTTGAATTAGACCTAAATGTGATCATACCGTAACGTTGATTATAATAATAATATTAATCGTACCAGATAAACACACGTAGCCTTAAATTAGGAGAAAAAATTGGCGTTTTTTTAGTTACAGTTTTTACATAAATTACATTTTCACCTCACTATTGTATTATTGTATTGAATACAAAAAATAAAAAAACGGGACTAGTCGTGAATTACTTAGGAATAGAACTGCACTTCTCCCGGTTGTCACATAAACCTACTAAATTACAAATTCAAGCCAAATCCAAAAATATTTTCAGTGTATAATAAATCCCTTTAAGAGTGCCAACGCGCCTTCGTGAAAACGCGCGACTGCATGGATACAAACGCGCGATTGTATTGCAATCACCTTTTTATCCCAAGTGTAGCGATGCAATCGCGCGTTTGGGTCGATGTAGACGCGCGCTTGCATCGTGTTTGCATCGCTGCTTGAAATCGCACTTGTATATAGACGATTAGCGACTGCATTGCGTTTGAATCGCTGCTGAAAGTCCCGTGTGTAACCGCTCTATTGGATAGGCTCGCCTTTGTACTCTAATATTTTAAATATTGTTGACATACTATAGTTCATTTGTTTTTGTGGTACAATAAAATGTTCACATACAAACATGTGTACATGTACACTCATGGACATTATTATTTAGAGACACGCTAAAAAAAATTGAATTATGATAAGAACATTCTTATGAACGATTGGCCACATAATAATGTTCTAAAAGTGTAAACCAGAACGATTAATTTGATAAAATACGACTTCAATTGTCTTTTCATTTTGATTCAATGTTCTAGTATATGTGGCAAGTGGTTTACATGAACATTGTTATCATAAATCCACCTTTTTTTAAGGTTTCTCAAAATACGTTAATGAGTTGAAATTGCAGTGTTGATGTAATAGCAAAAACCACGTTTGCAGAAAGTATAAAATTTGATAGACACCCGACAAGAAGTGCACCTTTAAATGGTGTATGCATATAGGCGGCGACGGATCTATTATTTTAACAAAAAGCATGGATACAATTGTTTTTGTAGACTAAACTCATTCACTGAAATTAAGAAACAGCTATATTATTGTTGTTGGAATATATGTATATTGTGAACTCTCACTTCTCCCATGGCCTGAATAATAAATTTCGAATTATTAAATTTTGCTTTATTATTTAATTCACCATAAAGTAATATAGTCCTCCTAATCCTTTTTTTTAATTCTCAATTTTGTAATCCTTGCAAAATTGAGAATAAAAAAAGACGAGATTGTCATATACTTAATTTGAAAATTATTCTGCCAAGAAATTTTTGTTTTTCGAATGTAAATTTAGAGCAACAGTTGGCATTTATTGGTGATAAATCAGTTTCGGAATTAGAATACCTGAGATTCCTGTGCCATTGTACAAATGTAGCATGACGACTTCGGTGACACATCGGTTAGCGCTGTGGACGCTGGATGAGAAAGTCACGGGTTGAGTTCGCTGTAGGAGAAATTTAAGAAATTAACTTTCTAAATTGATCTGGTGTTTTGGGTAGAACCCCATATTAACTTGCTTCGTTACATATACTACAGGGAATTTCCTAGTTTGAGGCAAGGTGTGATTGTCTGGTTCGATTAATATTATTATTATGAACAACGTTACGGTATAATAACATTTGAGTTTAATTTTAATAAACGTTCTTCGAATTTACGTCTTACAGCGTAAAACCCTAGTTTGAAACAGGTAATTGATTGAGATTAGGTTAGAATCGCAGCAAATGAAAGACTGTGGTTTCTGTCTACCTCCATTATGAATGCAGTTAATTCAAAATAACCATATTTGACATTTTTCTTCCGAAAATGATTTTGATAGGCTTACTTATTTATATTATTTTGATGTTGCTGACTACTGCATTTTGGCCCTTTGTTATAAAATATGCAATTCGTGATAAACCAATATACAACCGATTTTATGCCGTTTTGACTTTATATAAACTTTTTATCTATAGTGAAAATTATTAGACTTAACTGGCTGACGACTTTACCGTGTGAGTATGAGACGATGCAAGACCCCTGTTTGAAAAAACATGCTTGATTTAGAACCGTAAAAATACTTTCATTTCCTATGTTTACAATATTGCTATGGCCCACAAGATTTCCACAGACCACCAAGCAATTAGGTATACAGTTCCACTAACCCTAAATAAAGTTAAAGAGATAATGAAGCGTCAAACTCTCGTCGAGGCAATTTGATGCGACAAGAAATACCAATTACCGCCACTTTACAACATGTTTAAAAGCATTAACATAAGAATGAGTCAACAATATTACAGTCAATATGCGGTAAACTCACATAGAAATATAAGCTAAAACCACTTCACAAAAATCATTTCTCATGAACTTATTATTTATGTATACGTAGTAAACACGTTTTTGCGGAGGAGTCACGACCCTCAGTAATGAGGACTACGACGCGAGGAGGAGAAGGAGTAAACATATTTAAATATTTATATTGTTCAGAAATATGTATAAAAATCTGAATTAGATTTGCATCTCTAAATAGTATTTTATAGACCAGTGCAGTTTTTATAACAAAAATCTCTTAATGATGAAATGAAATTGTACATAAATAAATTGTATTATAATCAAATTATTAAATAATAAACACACTATATTACAATGACATTTATGTACGAGATTGAGATCTTTGTTAATTATCGTGACGTCACGTTATTTTTTAAGCTTGTGTGGCATCTTGCATTTATAATAGTATAATACTGCTCATGTACAGTATATCTTGAAAAACATGTTTGTTAATGGTCGATATACTTTCGGCTGCTAAACTAAAATTTACCACTTAATAAAATAACCTATTTTTAAAAAGGTTTCTTACTGAAGTGACCTTTTATTAAAGTGACCACTTATTAAAGTGATCACTTATCAAAGTGCTCACATATGAATATCACCTTGGATTATTATGTTCTTATTTAAAATTCAAAATTTTTGTTTCAGTTTGAACAAACTTTGATTACTGCAATGCGATGGAGATATAAGGTTAGCTCGTTTTTTTTTATTTAATTATACAATTATTTGCTGTTTATTTTTATTTTCTGTTTAATCCGCAAATTTAAAATTGCTTTCCTCGTTTCGATGTTCACTTAAATATTATTATTTTGTTACAATTACCACTATGATGGTCAATACAGCGGGTGCAGGTTACAGGGCCCCCGTAACTAGAGTTGCGTGGTCTCTACGGGCGGTACCACACCACATACCTATCAAACACAAACTCAAATTATACTTTTATATCTTTATTTATATACTTGAAATCAGCAGTAGCCAAGTCTATTTACGAGAGCATAAATATTTGGTAATCGTAACCAAAAAAAATATTTTCGTAAAAATTTGGAATAATTTATTACCACGTTTGGAGACGAATAAAAAAAAAAAAATATTATCGTAATAAAAGAAAACTAATTGTACACTAATAATTGATAAAAGTCATCACTGGCATACTGGTTTGTCCGCACTGTTCGTTCATGGTGCAATTGCACTGCTTGCGGCGTCGTTAGTAGTTTTTGTTTACACTTAACATGTTGGGGAATGAGAAAACCAGGCTCAAAGTAGCGCAATAAAATTATAATTTACAGAGAAAATTATACATCAGCGAAAAAACGGAGCAGAGCGAACCATAAAGCCAAAAATACAAAGACAAGTAATACAAAAATAACTTTAAAAATAATTTATATCTGACCCGTCCAGTAGCCGCTCCGCGATACAACATCAACACATTTATACGTCTTACTGCTGGACACGGGTCTCCCCTCACGCGAGTTGAGTACTTCACACATTTTCCGAGGATTGTGAACCTTGTTTTTCTCCACCAAAAAGCTGGTAAATTTCGCACATAATTTCCGAAAAGTCAGAGGTGCGAGTCCGGGTTGCAACCCTCTGCTTAAAATGCAAATTTTAATTTCAAGAGAAACATTAAAGTCACAATAATATGCATGCATATATAGCTATGATCATCAGTTGAAAATGGCTCAGCGAGCTATGGAACGAGCTTTGCTCGGAGTTTCCTTGAAGGACAAGGCACTGAACGAGGTTATCCGACAGAGAACAAAGGTCGTCAACATAACTGGTACAATAAGCAAACTGAAGTGGCAGTGGGCTGGCTATATATATCGAAGAACCGATAACCGATGGAGGAAGCGAGTTCTTGAGTGGAAACGACGGCTCCGCAAACATAGTGTAGGACGCCCTATGGCCAGATGGAGTGACGATTTGCGAAATGGCGCGCATTGGGAGAGGCCTATGTCCGGCAGTAGACTACGATAGGCTGTTGTTGATGATAATGATATATAGCTATGGAAAAGTGGTGCCGTTTATTAAAATCATAATATAATTAATAATTTAATTTTCATTTGTCAGACGTCTGACGTGTCACATTTTAAACCTATCAAGGGTTTTTTATATAATAGACATACGCTTGGCCACAATCTCACCTGATGTTAAGCGACGATATGACCGACGATGGGACGCGTTTGCCTAAAAAATGCCTATTCACTCTAGCCTTGAATAGCCCCAAATTGTACTTTTCGGGAAATACAGATGGTAGAGCATTCCATTCCTTAGCCGTACGCATCAGAAAGGAGGAAGCAAAGCGCTTAGTGCGAATAGGTGGGTTATCAACGACATAAGAATGGAGTGCTCCAGACCTTCTAGTCGAACGGAGGAGGAACGGTGAGGGTGGAACTAAATTGAAAAGTTCCTGCTCACACTCTCCGAAATGTATCCGATAGAAAACCGACAAGCAGGCTACTTTTCTGCGATGGTCGAGATTTTGTAGCTTCTTCTTCTGGTAGGTTTCACTGTCTTAGTAACTACATGCCTATACCTATTGTTTAGAATATGTGAATACGAAATAAAATAAATAAATTTGGAAAAATGCTTTCATTTCCAAAATTAAATTGAAGATTTTTTAAATTAACTTTCACGATATTTTATCACCGTAATATTCATATATTTTTTGTGAAATAACTCATAATATTAATACAAAAATTGAACCCAAAGATAAATTCCTTGGACCCGATAAGACTAAAACCAGCGACCTCGCCGTACCATAGCGTCGCTCTGCCAACTGAGCTACTGTCTAAGTCAGCAGACTGACCAAATTCTTCTGTGTCTGTAGATCTTTGTATTGCATTTTTCGGCTTTCAACGCCTTACTAATATTTTCGGGCAATGCACGTGACTGTACAAGTTTCATTATCTATTGGCAAATATGCCCGATGTATTCATAGACAAACGTCAAACGTAATAGAAAGAACAAACACGCAATGCAGATCTGAATTGAAGATAAGACGAGTCCTTCTCGGCTCGTATTAGCGATGCTATGAAATATTGTAATTACACCCCCACAGCTTGTCACTTGTGTTTATCTTACCCGGACCAAGGATATCAAGAGAACTGGAAGGACCTACGCTTTGACCCGAATAGGATGTTTGTTTAAAACCGTAGTTTTAAATTTAGAAAGGCATTTTGCCACTGTTAATGAATTAGCAAAATAATGGATGTAAAATTCCGATCACATCGATAATGCTCTCATTGCTTGTAACTCAGACTTAATAAGTAGTAAATTTTATTCAATTAAAACACGTATTAAAAAAAGATCGTAACTTTACAACCTAAAGATCAGCACTAGACTTCTTCGAGAATAGGTAGTAAAATACAAAAGTTGAGTTTTACAAAAGATTTCATTAAAAAATTCTAAACTAAAAAAAATCCCGTCCCGCCACAAAAAAGAATGATACCTCGCTAGAAACTTCCTATATCATAATAAAAATTATACTGACAATATTGCCTCGCTGTATGTCAATGGACACCTGTTGAACCAACCACAACACAGAGCCATGATCGAATTATTTAAAAGTGACATCACATTTCTTAGACTTCATCTGGACAGTCAACTTATTTACACAACAAGTTACACGTAGATAAGTGAATAAATCAATATGTTCATGTTTTCTAAAACGCATTCGATGCGTTACAAATCAGGTGATAACTTTATCGGCTCACCAAGATTATGTGAAATTGATTTTATTTTACGGTTTCGTAAGACAGGAACGGTTACCCTAAAATTACTATTCCATTACGCTCTTGACCGTTACATATTGTATAATTCGATAATCACGAAAGAGATATGTAGAAGTGTTTACTATAAATGCTAGATCTATGTAGATTCCAGTGTCGCCTAGGGACCGCTGGAGTCAACACAGCGGATGTAATGTGAGTTTTCCGCCCAACTGGTCTTGTAAATCTCGTTTTAATAACAATGTTAAGTGACGCATCTAGGACGTATTTTTATTACACAACATAGCTGCGTAGAGTTCGTATATTAACTTTCTATTAGTTCCTGTACTAATACAGATTTTTATATGAATATGTCATAACACACTGCTCCCTCCCTAATGAATATGTCACAATCGATTTTTTGAATCGTAATGGATCATCTGCCTCTGAATCGAACCACAGATTAGATCGTATGCTCTTGAATTGATCTCATAAAAATCGTTTCAAAATTAATTTCGATAACAAAGAATAATTTTACAACCTTTTTGGCTTCACTCAGTTACGGCTTTCGTTTAAAGTGATACTAGCCAGTGAAAAAAGAAATATTGCACACTTTATTGAACTGCTTTTCTTGCAGGCCAATATAAAATAGAGATTCAGAAAGAGACTGTTTTGTTTAAATTATGAATACGATCTAGACTATTCGATTCGCCTTATGTTACATCGATTTATTTAAAAAATCGCATTGAAATGAAAAATAAATAAGACGAACGACTAAGGAGTGAAATTCCCTGCCTACAGACTTATTCACTGAAGGTTATACTTGGGCCTTTTCAAGGCGAGAGTGAATAGTCATTATTTAAATGTGCATACTCCATCGTCGACCTTATCATCAATTTCCATCAAGTGAGATGAAGGTCAAATACGCACTTATAATTTGTATAAATATATTTAAAAAATGTATCTCATAGATACGCATAAGTCTACTTCTACTAATCACCGTAATCTAATTCAGAAAACAGCTACATTCAAAACGTACCAGTAGCCGTTGGCGTATAAATTACAGGCTGTCGTCGCCGGAACTTGTATTGTAGCGAGCTACATCGCCTAAAGCTGTTTAAGATTAACTTATATATCTGACAGGCAATATTATAACCTCAAGTTCAACTGTTTCTGAATTAATGGAATGATGTCATTGGTATTTGGTATGATAAAGCCACACGCCAAAAATCTTTTTATTACATGAAATTCATACAAATAATGTGAACTACTTGAAACAAAGGACAATGGCAAACTCCCATAAAAATTTTTGTTGACGTAATTTGTATGCGTCTGTTTATGAAAAATATGTGAAAATATACAGTTGAAATTCCTGAACAAATTTTGTTTTGGGTTTAGTGTTCTGAGAAGTCAAGAATTAAAGATATTCCAGTTTGGAGTTTTGGAGGTAGAATAAAATAAATTCGGTGTATTATTATATCAAAATAAACTACAGAAGCCTTAAACAGAGTAATAGAAACTGAATAGTGCCGTGGATTTGTGACGTGATGAATGTTCAGAGGAAATTATTTTGTATACTGCTATGGTCAAAGGGCATGAAGTTAAGCCATAACAAAAAACTGAATTAATTAATAACATACACAGACTATTGCACTGGTAACTCTGACACAAATAATTTTTTTATGAAACGTGCCATCTATCCCTGATTTTGGAAACTTTTTTGTCAGTTTTACCATTTTATCGCGTTATATATAGTTATAAATTATCGACTTTATTTTTTGTAATAAAGTGGTTAATCTTTTATTAGCTTATTACACGTGCAAATCTGTCGAATCAGTACATTTGATATTACGTGAACTAAATGTGGACCATATCAATCCATAGGTACTAGTATTCCTTTTTTTGGCCGCTAGATTTCGCTCAAAGTTAAGAAACTAAGAAACTAAATACTGATAGTTGTAGATATCAATCCGGGTACTTACT